CGGGCCAACCTGCCCCTTGTATTGGAAGGCATGAAATTGGATTTGTGCGCTTTGCTAAAGCTGTTCAAACTATGACGCGGCAAAAACTTGACTAAACGCGCTTTAATCAACAAATTTGATTTATTATTTTAAAACAGGATTCCCCCCCCCCTCTTCCCTAAAGTAAGGAAATAAAATCTTTACTAATTTAATAGTTATTTGTGGGAATGTACTTTGGTGGATTTTATTTATTAAGCCAAAATCTTTATTATCACATTGATATTTTAAAACTTATAAAAGCATTAAGCCCATGTATCCTTTTCAATCGTTAAATTCAAAAATGAGTCTCTTGTGACGGCAAAATTTTTTGAGTTACCAAAAAAAGTTTTTGGGACACTCTGAGTTAAAAGATGTACAAACACTATTTAATCCAGGAGAGAGATTATTCAACTAATGATAATAATACAATATCAATATAATCATTTATCTAACAGTGATCCTTAGGGNTTGGTACAGGACGGGGAGACTGGGGGGAGGGGGAGTGATTAAAATGGGAAACACACACCTTTCCTAGTATTTACAATGGCGGATTCCATTTAATGCTTTAATGCTTACAAACAGTTATTCTAATTCATTAACATGTTAGAGAAATTACGTTTTTGTTAAGAAATTGCGTTAAGTAAAATAGCAAATACCTAAAAAATTGTAGATTTAAAAAAATTCCTAAACATAACAAATTACAAAATGTGCGTACTTGTAATTTGTAAATATGTAACCTTTAAATAATCCTGACTCATGCTATTATATCTAACTAATTATCCCTATCAACCCTTCTTTATACATAATTAATTGAATTAATTTATAAATTATTTAATCCTTTTCATTCTTTCAGGTGAGTTGTGTTGGATCGGGGAAGGTTTTAAAGGTAGAAAAAGTACGTTTTTCTCCATTTTTTACCATTTTTGTTATTATACCATACATCAGTCTGAGGAAAATTAGCTAAGATGCTAGTTATATATAAATCAGCTAAAATGCTAGTTATATATAAATTAGCTAAAATGCTAGTTAAATATAAATTAGCTAAGATGCTAGTTATATATTATAAATACGCTAAGTATCCATAGATAAATTATTGTCTTAGCATTTTGTTAAAAAAACTTTGATTTGCGTGTTTTTATAATCAACCCGATTCAAATATTTACGTTTTTTAGTTCGCAAAAGAAAGAAAAGGGACTGCAGGCATAATTTCAATTACCCACCATTTAAAGGGTTACTTACCGGATTCACAACGGTACCATTTAACCCTGCGTCTGAGCAAAATGATGACGATATTCATGTATATGTCTATACTGTCTATCTATCCTAAAAAAAGATAATGTTTTTTAAAAAGTGACTTGTGGATTCATGCAGATAGCTATCTCACCTTGTTACTTGTAACAGAACACAGATGTAGATTTAATGGGTACCATTGGGAATCGAACATGTAACATTTTTTAGAAATATTTAATAAAATTGATGCTATCCTGATAATTTTCATGCAATTTTATCAATAGATGCACGCACCTCTTACTTTAGTAAAAGTAAATTCAACCTAAAGTCTGACCGCGTCAACCTTGTTGCACCGGCTAGTCCTATTTAGTGTCTGCTTTATTTACCCAATGTCCGGGCGATGCAGTACAAACTGGGACCGGAAAGGTTGACCCGGCTCGGAAATTCAAATGTACTACGACTGCACGTGGATGGGCTCGTCGGTACTAATGGGTTAAAATTAGTTTTTTTAAATAAAAGTGATCTCTGGATTGATCCAACAGCAACACGGAAGGAAAATTGACCGAATTTAACTCTCGTAAGCCTAGTTTATTTGTAGGTTTGAAAGGGTTCCACTGTGAATCGACCAGGTCATGTACCCGGTACCGGCCTCTTTAAAGGAAGGGTCATTTGAAATTACGTCTCTACAGTCTCTAGAGTTTAAAATCTTTTTCTCTCTCTCCCTCTAGCCTCCTCTCTGCCTTCATCAATCTTCATTTAAATATGGAAATTTTGAAAACTGGGCCCAAACCATCCTTACCATCCAAACCCAGAAGATCCATCCATCATATATCCATCAATGAGCATCCAACAATCCATCCAATCCATCAATTAACAACTTTTATTTCTAAGCGCGAGGGGTTTAGAATAGCACAGGAATAAAATCAACCAATAGAATGGAAGGATGGAAAATGCAGGAAATGGGAAAAGTTATACTTGAAATTGGGGAAGTTATACTTGAAATTGGAGAAGTTATACTTGAAATGGGCAAAATTATACTTGAAATTGGAGAAGTTATACTTGAAATGGGCAAAATTATACTTGAAATGGGCAAAATTATACTTGAAATGGAAAGAAAACAAAAATTATGGTGCGTTGTTTCATTTAAAAAAACGCACAGTTAAAACTATTTAATTGTTAGTTTGAAAGCTTTTTAAAACGAAAGAGTTTGGGCCAAAAACTCAATTCCTTTGGTAAGAAAAAAGGTTTATCAACGTTGTCTTTATTGTGTTTTTGTGAATTTGCATACTGTAGAAATGGTCTTTATATAACATCATGCATCATATCTACTTCGTTTGATATATACTTCGTTTTCGGTTTTTTTCCTGTTGAAACGATCGTTTTTACTTCAGGAAAACTACTAATAATCGTTTCAAAATCCAAAACATAAATCTGGAAACGTAATTTTATTTGGAAAGAAAATATAGCACGCCCCAGCTCTTTATTTTGAAAGTGCAAACGATATGGATCCCCCAGTATACTAACCATGCATGTGTAAATTGTAAAACTGAAAGAAATGAGAAAATTAAATTTACTCAACCGGAGAAAGCATTTTGTGACTCTAGCCTGAAATTTGATGTATGCAATGCTTTGATAAAAAGAATAGAATCAATCCAATTTCTAACTTTTTATTTCATTCTCTTCTCGTCTCAATCTAATCTTGTTTTCAACAAAGTCAATGAAAATTTAAATTCCAAATTTCGTGAATAAACTAAGAGAATTTTGAAGGAAGGAGATTGGATAAAAATTCAATTGAAACTTTAATTGAAATTTTCTTAGTGAGTTCTTATCCCCGGCTAATCTCGACAAAATTTAAGATATTTAAAAAATTTAAATTAATAAAATTTTAAACCATGACATGAAAGACTTGTTTATTAAAAACAACCAACTAATCAATATTTCAAAATACCCCCTCCCCTTCCGGCCCCTTTCCATGCCAACATTTGCCCTTCTCCCAAAAAATGTTATTTTGAACCAGAGCTACTCATTGTAATTATTGATAATTAATGTAAACAAATCTTAAGTATTATGTTCATTTTAGAAATTTGTGCAAAAAAGCAGTTTAAAATTTCTAAAAAGAAAATTTCGAGAAAAATAGCCCCCCCCCCCCCGTCTATCTAACTATCTATCTATCTATCGTTCTACCTATTTATCTTTCCATCCCTCGATCTATCCATCTATATATCTATCTATCTATTTATCTAACTATCCATCCATCTATCTTCTATTTAATATATTCTGTGAATAAAATACTCCGTCTAAACACAAAGGTATTCTAGTATTCTAGACAACTTTTAATCCGTAAAAGGGAGATTTGAATATTCTAGTCTATTCTAATATATTCAGTTGTCTTGTCTAGTCTATTCTAGTCTATTTTAGTAATTTTAGTCTATTCTCGTCTATTCTCGTCTATTCAAGTCTACTCTAGTCTAATCTAGTCTACTCTAGTCTAATCTAATCTATTCGACTAGTCTGTTCTTGTATATTCTAATGAGTTTATTTTAGTCTAATCTAGTCTATTCGGGGCTATCCTAGTCTTTTCTGGGCTATTCTAGTATATTCTAGTATACTCCAGTCATTTTCTGTCTATTCTAGTCAATTTCATTTCATATTAGTCAACTATAGTATATTTTAGTCTATTGTATTCTATCCTTTCCTATTATTTTCTATTCTTTCCTCATTTATCTTATCCTATCATATTCTATTTTATCCTATTCTATTCTGATCGATCCTCTTCTATTATATCCGCGCCTATTCTATTCTATTTTTTAAAATCCTATTCTGTTCTTTTCTCTTCTATTATATCCGAGCCATATATTCTATTCTATTTTAATCCTATTCTGTTCTTCTCTCTTCTATTTTATCTGAGCCTATTCTATTCCATTCTATTTTAATTCTATTCTGTTCTTTTCTCTTCTTTTATATCCGAGCCATATATTCTATTCTAATTTTAATCTGATCTATTTTAGTGAATTATAATCTATCCTCGTCTTTTCTAGTTTATTATAATCTATTCTGGAATATTTTAATCTATTCTGCACTATTCTTTATCTATTCTATTATATTTTTTCTTTTCTATTCTTTTAAATCCCAGCCTATTCTACTTTGTTCCTATTCTATACTATTCTATTCTATTCTATTCTATTCTATTCTATTTTATTCTATTTTATCTCTATTCTACTCTATTCTATTCTATTCTATTCTATTCTATTCTATCCTATTCTATTCCATTCTATTCTATTTTATTATATTCTATTCTATTCTATTCTACTCTATTATATTCTATTCTATCCTATTCTATTATATTCTATTATATTCTATTCTATCCTATTATATCCTATTCTATTCTTTTCTATTCTATTCTATTCTATCCTATTCTATTATATTCTATTCTATTCTATTCTATCCTATCCTATTCTATCCTATTCTATTCTTTTCTATTCTATTCTATTCTATCCTATTCTATTCTATTCTATTCTATTCTATTCTACTCTATTCTATTCTATTCTATTCTATTCTATTCTATTCTATTCTATTCTATTCTATTCTATTCTATTCTATTCTACTCTATTCTTTTCTATTCTATTCTATTCTACCCATTGAAGTAATATATTCAAGAATTTAGAATTCTAGAAGCTGGAAGCTTTTATAATCAATACAGCTAACAAGCGGAATTTTTAACAAACAACCAAGTAAACAAAAACATAAACAAATCAAATTAAAATGTAAATGTATACATTAATTGATTAAAAACGTTAAAAAATTCAACGAAAAAATACATTTTAAGAAAAACAACTGAATTTCTTAACAATTGCAGCAAAATGTAAAATAATAAACAAGTAAAAAGAAATGAAAAAGGGGAAAATGTAAAATAATAAACAAGTATAGAGATATGAAAAAGAGGAAAATGTAATTAGAATAAACAGAAAACTTCTAGAATAAACAGAAAACTTCTAGAATGAACAGACATGACTTCTAGATTAAACAGACAACTTTCTCGCTCTTAAAAGGTCTAAAACAGACTGTGTGGGATTAAGTTTAGAATCATTCTGAAAATTATTTTGCTGTGACGAAGAACCAATTAAGGAGGAGGACAAGAAAAGTATCCATCTTGTTTAAAAATCAAACATTTTTTTCATTATTTTCAATAAAAATCCATAATTACCCATACCCCCTCTTTCTTCAGCCCCCCCCCTCCCCACTCTTTATTAACTCATGTATGCTTTCACCTCCCATGTTCCCTTTACCATTGGTTCATATCAACAAGTCTCTTCTGCTCAGCTCTTGGCGTTCCTTTTATACTCTTTCTCATCCTCTTTGCCCTCCCCTCCTCCTTTCCTTCCCACCATCCCCCCCTCTTTACCACTCTTGTGTTTGATGTATTGAATTATTTTATATTAACCCTATGATATTGAACAAGCAGTTTCAAACACCCCTTCAACCCCTTCCCCTTTCTCCACTTTACTGTATCATTTTCTTGTCCAATATGACAGAAAGATCAAAATATTTATACATTATGGTAGATAGTTCCGTATACTATATATGTACATTGCAAACTAGTTTCATACAATATACATTAGAGTATAGCCATAAATTATACATTACAGCAGCTAGTTC